TAGCTAGGTATACAGTAATTTCATTTTACAGTACTTTGGAACGATATCAGGAGTGGGGGTGGTCAGTGGCAGTGGCCTAGGCCTACAATTTATTTGAAGCTATCTTGGATCCGATCGTTCACACCAGTTGGGCCCAATCGTCTGTCACCCGAAGTTTTCATTACGATGATCAAGAACGTATACTATCTAGGCCCAAGGTTTAGATTGCTCACTCTGCTACGTATACTACTACCGCATAACAAAGAGAAAGCGACCCACGCGGTGCATTCTTAAATTTTACACACATTATTAAAATGTATTAGACGATAACACGATATCATTGACTGAATGATCTACCACCCTCGTATCGCAGTAACTACTGTACTGAACCAGGCCTAATGTTTTTGTGAACTAGAGTGCTGACAAGATGGCGGAGCAATGCAGAGTTATGTACCCGACAGTCGGCTGCCTTTGTATCTTCACTTGTCTTCAATTTGCATTCAAAGGGTACATTGCTGCATAGCCGACTGTCGGGGATATAGTACCTTCATATGACTACTCATACAACAGAAAAAAACGTCGCATGGAGTTAGTGAGATCTAAATGAAAAAAAAAAAACGATGTATTTCAGCAAATATTAAAACCTTTTTGTTTTATTTTAGGCCTTCTTCAAAATACCTATGCCACAGCAGTTGATTTTTTTTTGCCGTAAAATCTAAATAGTTTCATCCATGCCGACTTGCCGATCGGTTAGCGTGAGCACTGACTGAACTCTGCAGAAACTTCACATCGATCTTCGCATCGCGACGTAAAACAAAATGTCGGAAAACTTTTCTTTGACGCATGCGCATTTGCATAAATGTCTACACACATACGCACACACATACTACACACAATAAAAAACAGTGAGAGTGATTACAATAGTTCATATTGCATTACATGCATATGAACTAAAAAGGAGAAAAATTTGTCTCCTAAATATTGACTACAAAATTGCTTCATAAAAGATGTATTGTTGGAGAAAACATAAGGCTCATTGAGGATTTTATTACCTTTGCTGAAAACGAAAAAAAAATCAATGGGGGCAGTCATTTGTGTAGACTTTGAAAAAGCTTTTGATTCTGTTCACAGATTTCTTGTATAAAGTATTACAGAAATTCAATTTTGGTGATGAATTTATAAATGGATTAAACTATCATATTCAGGTGTTAAGAGTTGCATTATAAACAAAGGATATTTTTCAGAATACTTCAATTTAGATAGTGGTTGTCCAATATCAGCTCCGCTATTTACATTATTAGTGGTAAAAATTTTGGCTACACATATAAGAATGATAATGACATAAAAGTATGTCGGCTAGCTGATGATACAACTGTTTTTAAAAAACAATTATACTATGAGATAATTGAAAAACAAACTTTCATCGATAAACGGTCAGCCTTAGGTTTAATACTTTATTTTATTTTTATCTAGGTATTCCGTCCTCTCGTTAAGCCTGGGCCAAGTGCCCCGGCCTTGCAGGGCCACTGAAAACTCCTTCCTAGTATATACTATTGTAATGTTATGAGTGAATAGGCAAAATGTTCGTATGTGATAAGCCACTTTTTGTAATTCATTAGAGTGCATTTGTTTTGGTAAACCATGCACTGATGTTGTTTTGCAACAAAACAAGAAAATTAAATTGCACAGAAGCAATAGTCAGTGAAAATATGTTAAATTAAAATTAACACAATTTAATATTTTCTTAATATTTTATTTGTTTACATTTCCAGACAAAGCAACAAAACATCCTCCTCAAATATGTTTATATAGTTATATCAAAAAGCACACCAATATCACAGTCGGTGTCAGACAAATGCAACAACATAAAACAAAAAATATCGTCATTGCAACACTGTATATATTTCAAACACTGTATATATTTCAAACAAAAAAAGATGTTTGGAGTTTACAAATATAGTAATGATTGTCTGATTTCGATTAGGTTTTTCCAGTGGTGACTGCAGTAATCTTCTGACAAATGCCCCAGAGCAAAGCTTCCGGGGGTGAGTTTCATGGTTTTAGGATGTCAAAAATTCATTGTGCTTTAGACCACAATATTTGGATCTGCAATCGCAATAACTGGCTCTATCAGCCAATAATTAGTCTTAGTAAACCTCAAGTGACATTTAAACACAAGGGATCAAAGATAAGCTCCCACTGCCGCCACCACCACTAGTTATCCCAATCCTACTTTACCTAAAACAATTCTTGGGCTCAATTATATTTAAATATTATTTGCTGAATATTACTGTACTGAACATAATGGTAAGATATTTAAAAAAAAAAATTGTTATTGCTTATAATTATATTTAAATTAATTATAAGAACATTCTTCTTGATCATTTACTATACCAATGTACACAGCTTTGAAAAGCATGGTAAATGATAATTTAAATACAGTATTAAATATCAATATTACTCCTACAACATTGTCTATCCACATTTGATATGTAAATACTGTACGTTTCATAAAAATAAAAAATTCTGTTCTTAAAATCACTTTCTGTTACTGACAAATTTGTTTTCATGTCAAACTTATTAAAGTACATTACTGTATTTTAATTTAAACATAAAACTTTGTCCCATGGATGTCTCCATTTAAATATCATAATTTTTTACAAAGGAAAACAATTTAATATGACATCATTCACATCTGATGAATAATATGAATTGTGTGACAACCAGCACAAAATGACTTTTATCCAAAATGTGATGTTGCCAAAAACATTCAGTATTATAAATATTTCGTTGCAATTTAAACGGTTTTGCACTTAACAACAAATGTAATGAAGATACAGCTTTAAAAAAGTTTCAGAGATGTAATGTCCCATGAAAAAAATCAAAAAAGAAATAATTTTTGAAATTAACTTGCCCATTTAGAAAGGACATAAAAATTAACATAGAAATTAGTGTATTTAAGTTAAAAAAAAAAGTAAATAAATAAAGTAAATAACTACACAAAAAAACTTTGGACCCAATCTATTATGGCTATTATCACAAGTTGCAACATGACTCATTTTGAGGGGAATATCACTTAATAAGTTGATATACGTCTTAAACATGTTTGCATACTATTCATTCCGTTTCATATTGCCCATCATATTTAGTGCGCTTATCTTATCTTCCTCTCATGCCAACTTTCCATAATATATACAAATAACTTTAGGACTTAAAAAATTCAATGTTAATAATGAATGTCAACCTATGTTCTTGGCAAACATCATTTACAGCCTTATTTACATATAATTTACATATTAACATTACTCAAAAGAAATGTGGAAAGCATTATAAAATTATCAACTGATAAAAGAAACACTATATTTCCCTAAATGGTCACTTTTTTGTTTTTCTAAAAGAATGTTTTTGTAAATTCAAACATCAATTAGGATGACAAATTATATGAAACATAGCATGTGTTTGACATTTTCAAACGCCCACATTAACTACCAATCAATCACCCTACAAACATGAATTTAATTTACTCGCAAAGTAAAATGCTCTACTTTGCCGAGTTCAGTACAATTATTCGTCCTTCCTAATTACATTTGCTCGGCTATTAAGGCAATGGTACAGTTAAAAATAGATTCTAATATCTTTGATACAATATGTAAACAGATTAGCCACTACAAATGTTATTCTGAAATTGGACGGTATTTGTGGAGTTTAATGCATATTCATTATTCAAAAATGCTTATTCATGATCAGAAAATGCATATCAATTAAATGCATAATGTTGTGCATAAATGTTTTCAACACTTCAAGGCTTTACTTTTCACTTTTGTCTTCAAGGCATTATATAATTTCACAATCATATTCCTAGTAAAGTATGACATTATTGCAACTGAACAAAAAAAAACAAAATTTCTCTCTAATACAGAAAATAAAAATAATTTATCCCTCTACCAAAGGACTATACCACTTAAAAAGGAGGGTGTCAATAAAACCACTTGTTTACTTGGACCACAAAATCTACCAGCTCTAGGCTAATATTGTCTAACACATAAAATGTATCAACATGTATGCACTAGACATTAAATGTTGATTATACATTTAGACACACCTAATATATTGACTGTCATAATAATGGATGAGCAATATGCTAATATTTCATCCAGTATTCAGTCCAATGGTTGTTTATTAGCAATATGCTAATTACCTATGTCATTTTAGTACTTAATGAATATGGATGAACAATATGTTAATATTTCATCCACTATTCAGTCCAATGGTTGTTTATCAGCAATATACTAATTAATTACCTATGCTCATTCTAGTCCAATGATTATCTGTGAGCAATATGCTAATTAAGCATGCTCACTTTTACGCTTTAAGAATATGGATGAGCAATCAGTCTAATAATTATTTATAAGTAACATCCTGATTAATTAGGGGTCATTCACAATTATCAGCATTTCAAGTGTTCAAACAGTACGCTTTTTCAGGACCCCCTCCCTCTCCTCTGAAAATGTGAAAAAAATGTTGATTTTGCAAAACACTCCATTTTTTTGTAAAGCAATGTACTTGGTTGCTTAAAAATGAATATTATATCCATGGTTACATTATAATTTTACCATTTTTACATACTGCATGTTATTTTGAATCAACATTTTCATGAATGTGAAAGTGTACAAATTTGTCCACTCCCTCCCCCTAGGAGTATTGTTTGTACACTTGTGAAAATGCTGATAAAGTTGAACGATCCCTTATTCATGCTCACTGGCCTACAAAAATTATTCATGATTACAGAGGAGCAATATGCAAATTTAGCATCCGCATGCAATAACAATGGATTAGTTTTGGTTCTATAAAATATAAAGTTGTACATGAGGTTTAGCCATTATAGGCTGCTTTGAGGTATTTTTTAATAAACCCTGGCCTAAATTTGCAGTATGGTAATAAATTTAACAAAACTACCATTCCATTAGTATGAAAATTAAATCAATGTTGAAAATCAGGTCAAATAATGTTTTGAACATAATTTTGTCTATGGTATCCATTTCCTACCATATTTGGAAATGTAATCTTGTCAACAATGCCTCAAACACAATTTGTCCAACCTAAATGAAAAATTAGAACGTGTAAATAATTATTTCTTTCATAGAAATGAAATTGATCATGAGCACTCCAATAATCCTGCCCTGTGTTGTTCAATCTTGTCATCTATGATTTTAGCATGCCAACAAAATTGAGGTAAAAGTACAAAATTTGGCACAGTATAAGAGCACCCAGTGATATATTGGAAATAAAATGCATAAGTTAATTTAATCAGAAAAAAAAATTAAATAATAACGTATGTGCAAAATGCTCCTAAATAATAGATTTATTGAGGGTGATACAATAATTTCTCAAATGCACATTGGACTTGAGATTTGTCAACAAGGTCACTGGAATGACCTCTTGACTTTACAAAAAATCTACCAGCAGACCCCCAAGACAGCAACTGGTTAGAGTCTTAAATACAGTAGTTAAATTAAAATATACATCTAAACTACAAAATATGATAAACGGAGAGGAATATAATTATACAAAGTCTATATTTAGAGGTTATTACTATTTCTCTCAAGGCACAATTTTTACAAGGTGTTGTGATAATTCAATTAATCACTGAATCAATTCAATTTTTATCAATTTAATTCAATTAAATTCAGCAGAATTATTGTCATTGCTCACTGGCAATCTCATTATTCCATTCATTGCAGCATTTTAATTGCAGCTTTGTACTACTGTATCTAGTTGTAACTTCACCTGATTTTATCACCAACATAATTATCACTTCGAAAAACACTTTGAGTAACAACTTAGTCGGTAATAAACGATCACATACTTAAGTTAACTACTGTAGTTCCTTGGTATAGTAAGCTTACACCCTTTGAACATAAACATCTGTAGAGATTAGAATGGGCTAGAGAACCAGAAAAAAAAGCAACTGAACTGGCAGACCTTTATAGCTAGGCTCGACATGTCTAGCCCAGGCCTCAGAGACAATCACTTGCTTAAACCAACACTACATATATCTCATATTTACATTCAGAATGTAGAATTTTCAACTCTGAAATGAATGAGGATGTCCTCTACTTCTGGTTATCTTTATCAGTTACCCAGTGGTACCCAGCATGGTTAGTTCATCTGTTTTCCACAAAATACAATTCCTTTATAGCAGGCAATTCCTTTATAGCGGGTAATAATTACGTCAATATTTCTATTTTTAGAAAAAACGCTGTTGATATCTTACGCAGAGGCACTTCCATTGTGACTTTCACGGCATAACTAGGGAGAATTTTCAAACTGGACTGTTATTTTGCCTTTCTATACTCATTGGTTGGGCAAACAATTTGGGAGAGATTATACCGAAGGAACTGCAGTATGTTAACGGTGAAGCATTCACATCTGTACTAAAAAAAATAAAGAATTATGTGATATATAAAAACCAACAAATGTAAGTTTAAGTTAAAATGAAAATTTCTCATTTTATTGCTGACGTTCAATGAAGGTGTTCCAGTTATAAATGTAATTTATAGAACTTCGCTCCGATGTGCTTTTTTGAGTAGTATATTAACATCATTTAAAACTACACTCAAGTAAACACATGGTACAGTAGAACACAATCTTTACACTATATTAAAAATCAATCTTTTCTAAATTTATAAAAAGGAGTAGAAAAATAGTTTGTGGACAGAAATATGGACAATCTCAAAAAAAAATATAAAAATCGCACTTTCTGGTTCAAAAAAATACCCATCATACAGAAATCTCTCAATGCTTTCAACTATTCTTGTAAGCTAACGACACTCCTTTATACATAACATACTTTCTATTTTCTTTTCAACAAACATCTCTTAAAAACTAAAATTTTCTTTTCAAAATAAACATGTTTTTCAGTCTATTTCAATTCTCCTTTGGCTGTACACATGCCTAAAATGATTTTTCTAGTTAACCACACACTTATTATGCAGCCATTCGTTTTTTTGTTAAGTACCATTTACACTTGCGTTTAGACAAAAGCTTCCAGCTGGTCCGATTAATGTTTGTACTTTACGCTTATGATCAGACGATCACGTACATGGTAATTACTGATCATTCACCATGAAATTTCAGTTACTCTTCGTCACAGCGATCATACAACATGAGACTATGGGCAAGCTGCAGTTAGATATCATATACATGGTAGCTGCTTCTCCTCCAAGTTGACCACAATCACCTCCAGTGTAGTCTTGAAACTGGGCCAGCTATCTGACAAGTCCTTTGGCGTTCATACCATAGCAAAGGCTTTTCCTTTACGTGAAAATGCAGAAATAATCTCTCCCACAAAACTTTGGTTTTTTCATTCAACTTCTTTGAGGATTGCAACATACTACAATTGACTTTGTTTCCTCACCACATACAGTACTTATGGTGATCCACTCTCTCCATGGTTCATTCACCACATTTCCTTTGGTTGCTTTCACCACTTTCCTGTCCTCGTATTTAGGAATGACGATGAGCTGCTCAAATGGTTGTTTCCAGATACCTTCTCCAAACTATCCTTAATTTCTGTAAAATAAAATGTAAAATGGCTTATTTTCAAAAATTGTTTTAACATATTGCCCAACATGCCTCGAATACTATAAAAAAAACGTCTGCAGACATTAATTTTGATGCATTTCAAGGATTATTTTTGAAAAATGTGTTACATAAATTTAGTATTTCATATGTTACTAACATATTAGCATGCGTTCCAACCCTCCTGATTCGATCGGGGTCTCCCAAATTTTCAGAAAAGAAGCACAAAATACCAAAAATGGCTTATTATTGGATTTTTGTGTCAATTTTTTTTTTGTGCACCAACTATATCAACAATGTTGGCATATTTACTGATATGAAAAAAAATTTTTAAATTTTGGGGGATGGCACTCCACCAGCGCCTCTATCCACTGTCCCAAATTTTGACTTCCATGGGTTGGAACATCTGTGGTATACCTGATATTGCAAGCAGCATCTTCCTTCGTGCTCCGAATGTGGATATTCCGAGTTCTTTCAAATCACCATCTGTCAACGTCATGAATGTGGCCAGGTCAATCTCTTGCTGGTGAAAAATGTCAATGTATTTGGCTAGGCCTAGCTTGCTGAAAAGTTCAGCCATCTCAGGATTAGCCAGTTGCATGCTGGTATTGGCAGTACTGGACCATAAGCCTTTTGTAGGCCTAGGAAGTGAAGTTGCATCAAAGTAATTGCTTTGACTGAAATCATCTAAAAAAAGAACAGGATTTTGAAATGGTAAACTAAACTTGAACTTTATAATACATTCATGCTAGGCTCTCACGAGAGCACTAGTGTCCGGATCGGGAGCTAACCGTTGGGCGTTCTCACACAGGTGCCTGATTGGTTAACGCTAACGGTTAGCAAGCGCTATCGGTTAGCAAGTGAGCGCGTTTCTATCATCAACCAATCACACGTACGCGTTTACAATTTCCAGTTTCTTATTGGCCAGTGATTCGATCATCATATTCTTGGTATCTGATCGGGATTTTCTCGTATGGACGCACGGCAGCTAACGGTTAGCAGGATCCAGATCCTGCTAACCGTTACTGCCGTGCGAGAACATAGCCTAAAAAATTCAGCTGTAATAATATTTAAAATGTGATATAAATATTATTGGAAAGATTAAATGGTGATACAAGTAGATGTTGACTTGAACTTGTGTTTTGCGTGTGGTGGTGGTGATAGAATTTGCGTTATCCAGGGCCGCGACGAGGACGCTTCTACCATGACCTCATGCATTTTAACATTTTAAATATACACAAATACTAAAATAATAAATTATTAAAAACTGAAAATTATGAAAATAATGAAAATGCTATTACTGTACTGGTTATTAACTTACGTTTTCTGTATGTAGAGTAACCAGGTTGTATGACAGCTGTCTGTCCATCACTCAGCCTGGGGCTGCATGACCGATCTGGAGGCCACATACTGCTACTGCTATTGCTCCCACTACCACTGCTGCTACCACTGTCATTAAGATGACAATCTCCATCCTCTTCTCTCCCAGTCTGGAAAAAAACCATATTTTTAACAATCAATATATAATAATAAACAGAGCTTCCCATTTAACTTTGATTATATATCAATAATGACTTCATGGGTCAGTGCTTTCAGAAAAACTTTCATTTTCTTTCCTGCTTTTTAATTTATGTATTTTAACGTTTTAAATACATACAAATATTAAAATAATAATAATGTTAACAAATGAACTGTTTATATTATAAATTGTTTATTTTTTATGAAGATAATTGAATGTATGTATAATTTCTGCTAACCAGCTAACACTGAAAAAAAAAAATGAAAATGCTATTCTAAAGGAAAACCTTGTGAATAGAATGTAATTTATAAATAAAAATAATATAACAATAAATAAAATATAATACATTATCATGTTACTACACACCTCATATGTAGTTGGCAGCTTCTTGCCATTTTTATACGCTATTCCATTTGTTTTCTGGAATTCCCGAATGGCTGACTCTGGCATCGACTTGGAGAACCCTAGGCCACTCCAGGTAGCTGTTGGTGTCCTCACCTCAGAAACCACTGGCTTTTTCTTCATGGCTAAAATAATGTTTAAAAGTGAATAATAGTAAATTTTAAGTGCTAACTTCTACAGTCTATTCACACTCTTCTTTCCAGACTTTCAGGGTATTAAAACGTTGGTTCTTGGTGGTGTCGGGATTTTCAGATAGGCCTAGATTATAGGAATCCGCTAGGCATGGTCATAAACAATAGGGCATCACAAAAATAAATTCTTCTGGCCAACAAGGAAAGGAGTATTATTCGGCTACCACTTCCAATTTGCAAAACCTTACACACCAAAACTTTAGGCCATGCCAAAATCTGATTTGAGAAGCATAATGAAAGAAGAAAACGGAATTGTAGAAGCGGTTGGCGCATCGGTTGTAGCTTGGACTCCCAACCTCGAGGTCGGGGGTTCAAAATTCTCACTGTGCAAATCGCTTGTGTCCTTGGGCAAGGCACTTTATCTACGGTTGCCTCTCTCCACCCAGGAGTACAAGTGGGTACCTGGTAGGTTCCAACACAACTGCGCTGATTACTAGCCGCAATATGGAATAATATTACTAGTTAACTTAATAATTTAATTTGGTGTTCAATGTTTCCATATGTGTTTGATCCAATGACCGGGGTAATAATGTGAATCGCTTAGAGGCTTTGTTAAGGCATTAAGCGCTATATAAGTACGACATATTATTATTATTAATAGGCCTAGGTCTCAGGCCATACACTTATATTTTGCTGTGAATGCGAAAAACACAGAATGGCTGAAAACCATTCATGTAGCGACACAATTCAGTGGTTTTATACTACTAGCTGTGTCAATATGTTTTATGAATAAACCAGAAATAAATGAACAAATGAGTGTATGTATGTAACATGCAAAACAACAAGATGAATTTCTGCATAAAATTCAAGAAATCTACATAAACAAGAGTAATAGATCTACTGGAACCAGACTGTAATGAGGAAAATAGTAATAATAATAAATAATTTTATTCTAATTCTAATAGGATTTAATGTTATCAATTTATCATTTTAAAAACATTTTACAAGCTTACCTCTTGTTGCCAATACTTTTTTCTGTTCATAATTCAGAAGGAATGGTGAAAGACTCTCCATCTCTCCAGCTTTCTGGATCTGACGTTCTCTTTCTTTGCGCTCGCATCCTGGTGCTCGTTTATCTGAACTGTCAGACTCGCCACCCGATTCGGAAGAATATTTGTCTGTCCGCCTATATAAAGGGAAACACACATGGTAGATTAAAAAATTAAATCACAAGAGTGTTGAGCTGGGCATACACTGACATTTTTGTTGAGCTGGGCATACATTGACATTTTTGTCTGTCAAAACCTTGTTGGAAATCTACTCAAACATTGTCTGAAGCTCTGTCAAGATTGACAAAAAACTCTTGTATGCCCATATATAGTCACAATGTGCCTATTTATGGTCATGATGTGATGTCATCAAGACCATATTTGGGCATGTCACACTTTTGCCAAATAAAATTTGATAGTCTGGACAAAGCTTTACAGAAAAAAATCTGATCATTGGATTGGATTATACTTTTTTTTTGGTGCAAGACACACCATAGTTAACCCATGAAAATCAGAAGTCTAAAATCCAGTGGGGTCCTTTTGGTGGTAAACTGGGCAGTACACTATTTCCCAATTTCCTACCGAGTTTTGAAGAGTGAATTGCGTTTTTATAAAGCCAGCTACTCAATGCGACCAACGCGAGTACACAATGGCACGACATGCTGGCAATAATGATTTTTAATAACTGTCCAGGCTGCCTCGTGACAATTAGAAGATTGCATCACGTCGCATCGCAGAGAGAGGAGTTGGATTCGTCGCACGACAGTCGTCTGACACAACAAGTTCTCAGCTTTCAATTCAATATACATTTATTCAATCAATGGAAAAACATAACAAAAATTGATAAGGATCAAGTTATAGAAGCAGTTAGGCTTGTCTCAATTGACCCTTACAAAAAAAAGTATAAAATAGAGAAACAAAAAGTACAAAATAATTTCAGTACCAAACGTAAATACACACACATTCCCCACCCCCATACACTACCCCCCATACACCTCAGATCTTTATTGTTGTTGTTGTTATGCAGAGGGTTTCCATGATGGTGGAGGCCGTTTAGGGTAATATTTGATGAGGCTGATGATGCTAGAAGATGCACTGTTGGGCTAGCTCTTGGACTTGCTGTTGGGCTGGTACTTGTGTTGCTATGGCAACCTTTTGAGATAAATAATTTGAAATCAGATTTATTTTTTGAAGAGTAAAAAAATTTGTTTGCCGCCTAGTATTTCCATTTTTGGACAATAAATGAAATCTTGAATCTTGAAAATTTCCCAATTTGTTGAATATATTTCGTTATAATAATAATAATAATATTTATTGACATTACACTTTTACATCAGTGGCAGCACACAAGAAAGTGGCGCAGTCAAACTTAAACTAATGAACAAAGAGTAAAACAACAACTTAAAGCTAAACAAATGAAAGAACTTATGAACAAAGAATAAAACAACAACTTAAAGCTAAACAAATGAAAGAAAATACAACTTAGATCTGAAATAAATCATAAACATCCCTCACCTTCCCCACACAAATAATGTACATAATACACATTACGTGCATACAGTACCCCACCCAAATATGTATATGTAAATATGTATTTCAGCAATATCAGTCATTAATGATGATGCAAACGCATTCTTATAATGTTAGAAATATTTGTAACAATATAGTCCAACAATTAAAGAGATTAAAAAAAAAATGTTTTTGGAGATCTGTATTGTTCAATTTTGAAAAAAGTGGGATAGCTTTAGTGCATCACCACAGGCATAACCTACTGCAGAGCAATCTATCATAGATTATCCATAAACAATATCATCTGGGTCCAATTTTAAACCACATTTATAGAGGGTGACCCTTCCAGCGTATCTTAGAAGGTCAGCTGATATTCAGGGGCCCTCTTTAAATAAATGAAATAATGTGATGCTTTTATCTGATCTTAATGAGGCTTACGGAGTGGAGTTGTTTTTAGTTGTGAAAAAAGTCCTGCTATCACAGGAATTGAACCCAGGACCCTGGGATTAGAAGGCAATCATCTTAACCACTAAGATTTAAAACTCCACAAGATAGCTTTGCACACACTATCACATTTTATCACAATAACGCTAAAATTAAACACCTACCGATATCGCTGGATGTTGCTACACGTATATATGCACTGCTTGGACTTTGATTCATTATCAAACTATTTGATTGTTGTTTTAGGTCCAGTTCTTCCAGCCTTAACCCCTCTCTCATCTCTAATTGTGCCAACTGATTTGAAACCATCAAAGGGTCGGGCTTGGTCAACCCCGGGGGTGGGGATGGCGTATGATGTGTTGTCGCCGCCATCCCTAAGGATACAGGATTTATAAGGACAGTGTTGATTGACTGTGGAACGATCATAGGGGTAACAGTTCTGCAAACACCTGCTGGAAGAGGAAATAAAATTGTTTAGCAAGATCACAGATTTTAAATGCTTTGATACAAATTGGAATATAAATTGTAGGCTCCAACTCTTACCCTGGTCAACTTAACCAAGTCCTATAGCCACATTCAAACTGCCAATAATTAATGTTTATACATTTTTTACATATACTCCTATTCAAAATTATTTTAAATTATATTTTATATCTATTTTCTCCTACAATTAATTCTAAAAAGGTAACTCCGACACCCACATCAAAAGCTGGTTAATTTGGCTATTTGGAAAGTAGTCACAATGTAATGTATTTATATGCTGATAAAATTTATTGCACAAAAACTACCTTCATCTAACCTAAAGGAAACCTAGCTCATCTATGAATGGATCTTGCTTTATATGTAAATCAACTTCCCTTATTAGACACTCTAGGTCTTGACTAACTATCATAGGAGGCCTAAAACTATATTTGTGTGGTGACTATCATCTGACCTACCTAGGTATCCAGTAATTCTTCTAAATATAGACATTAAATATTTATATTGTCTGGCTTTCCAAAAAATCTATGAGACTGAATCAAACATCTTGTTTTTCCACACGCATACATAAAAATCATTGTCACTGCAACAAAATGTAGGTGGCATTAAACTGTTTGTAGATCTAGGCAGGCTAATGGTGTTACAATCATGCAGTAACACAAACACAAAACTTATTTAATGTTTTGCATTATAAAAGTAACTTTCAAGGTAAATTTTAATGATGTCACAATTGACTTTTACTTCATCCTTAATATTTTATTTATTCTTTCTTTTGACTGGATACATTTTACAATAACAATGGTCTCCAAAATTGTCAAGTTATATTCTTACGATTATAAGAATAGGAAGTTACTAAAATTACTACATCATAATACAAAAATTGTTACATAAAAATAACAAAAACAAGGGACATAAAATTGTATAACTATTGTAAAGCGATTTGAAAATGGGAAGGGCTGCACCCCTTCGTTTAACATTATTGCCAATACCTAATATTGCAGTCTAAAAGCACAGATTTGGGACATCCTACACAGTTAAATCTCTCCCATTGACCCTTACCAGGGATTTTATTCTAGGTTCCTGATGGAGGCTTTAGGTGGACCTTCGTTCTGGAGGCACCAGTAGTTCTTTGAAGTGTTCAAATCAGCTTACCTGAAGTACTGATGCTTGGTGTCACAATGCCGATTTGGGTCGAGCTGGTTGGTAGTGCCGGTGTGCCCGCCATTCCATTCAATGTCATAATGTTACTATTAACACTCAACATATTCTGACTCAAAATACCTGTTTTAATAAATATAAAAAGAAAAAAAAAAAATTAAATACAACATATATCTCTATCAGTCTACATGTTCACATCAAATATTATAGTGTAACTTACAGCTATGCAATCATGATGAAGACTGCTAATGGTCTCTTTCAATTTTTAATAATATAATTACTTTAAAAAGTACTTACTGAGGTTGTTGAGCCCAATGGATGGTGTCGAGACCGAACCATTTGCATTGAGAGGTGGAGCATGCACAGTTGATGAACACTGCTCACACTGTTGCCCTAACAAGATCATCCTTGTCTTGTACATATTACCAGCATTTCTTTCAATGCTTTTCACAATAACAGACTGCAGAAAGAAAAGGAAGATATTAGGCTAAGACTGTATTCAAAAGCTACTGAAACAGATGCTTAAATGCAGAGGTTCTCAACTATATCGCAATAGGGGCCAAAATTATTCAATGAATAAATTTAAAGGGCCACGGTAAAAGGTAATGGTGCGTATCGCAATCCGAGAGCACGGCATTTGCAATACCAGGGAATTGTCCCCTTCCTGAATTAGAAATTTTTTGAAAATAATAAGCAGCTAGATGCTCATACAGGGCATCTGGACCTAAGAAAGTTACACTTATGTTACACTAAATTAAAAATGTTATGTACCACACAATGGGTCATCAGTATTTCTTTGCTGTTTGCTGAGATAGTTGTTCCAATTTGATTGATTAAATTGCTACAATTTGTGGGGCAATATATAGGCCTAGTCGGCAAAACAGAATGCATTAATTATTAAGGTTAGAAATATAACAGAAAATAGAATTTTTGACTTGTTCCGGCAGGCTGTAAAACAGACACTCGCGGGCCGGAGATAGCCCGCAGTTGAGTACCCCTGCTTTAATGCATTCCTCCGAAGTTCACATCTAACAAATATGCCTCCTTATGCTAAAATGAACTTTAACATAATACGAAATAAACACAACACAACATATTAGTGAATTCATCATCATTTACCTTGCTTGGTTGCTTGGGTTTGGGCTTGATGCTGATAAACACGTCTAGTGTTTCCATCAGCTGTGAAAGCTTTGTAGAATCTACTTCTATATCTTCTTTCATATCGAACATTAAGACCAATGGTAAACAACCCTGCAATTCAGAGGACAAACTTGTAAAATGCCTTCTTGTAAAACCACTTAGATCAATATTAATTATTAATAATAGTAATAATAGAACATTTTTGAAACAAATTATAAAACGATGTAAATCATTAATTGACCATTATAGAAAATTACAATAGGACAATTTTATTTTCAAAAAATGTCAAATTGTATTTTTGACAACTTCATCTGTTGATGACAACGTACGATCCTTCCAGTTATTTATATCATATTATATAATTACCATCATTTTGTACAAGGTAAGAATTTATTAATCCGACTGACCAAAAACCCAAAAATATTGAAAATTACCATTAACAGATGTCTTGCAATAATGACTGAATCTATAGGTCCCGACACAAACACCGTACTCTTCCTTTGCGACGAGCTAGGATCGGGAAAATGTATAGTGGCTCCTGTGCCCTGCATAATTTGTTTAATGTTTACACCGCCTCTGCCAATCATGAACAAGTGGTGCTGTGGTGCTATTTCTATCTGAGTACTGACTGGTAGAACAACCTAATAAAACAAAAATATCAATATCAACATGAACTTTTAAGACCCTTGAATTATACAAATTTTATTGAATCGTGAAAGCAATTAGTCACAGAATTTTGAGGCATCTCTGGCCAATAAACAGGTTCATATGAAGGGGGTGCCAATTTAGCAAAGTAGAAATTTCTATAGGAAAATTATTCTTTGCAATGAGCAGAATATATTTTAAACAAGTCTATTTCAAATTATGTAGATAATAACAAGAATTTAACAGGCCCAAAGAAAGTCAGATTTCTGAACTGAATACAGCAGCAACAAAAATCAAGTTTTTGATGACATGGTCATGATGATATCACGACCATATAAATAGGCATGTCATGTTTTTTTCTCAATTTGATAGCACAGACAGGGTATGAAACATGTCTTTATTACAGTGTGTCCAACTACAATCTCACTGTAAATGTGATATCAAGCCACTTTGTTTTTCTCCATCTATAGTAAGATATTATTTAATTAGCATGTGCACGACTACACACAAAACTATAAGGATACTTGCATGGTGTTCTCAAGGGTGTGCCCCAGGGTATGGAAATACTTGTGCTGTCCATAACCTGGATATTGTATTTTGCAAAACACCATGGCATAAAATCATTATACCTCTATATTTGTGTATATTTATACAGAATTTTTATTATTTTTAAGCTTCTTGACATTTTTAGGCCTGAATTAAGGTTTTATCCACCCACATTAGGTACTGGGCTCTTGGAACCCACCAAACTCTGGTTTCTGAATCTACTGCCTGCTTGCCAGGGCAGTAGACAATGTGCTATCATCTCTCTAGTAAGTTAATCTGGTTTTAAGGAATGATGGGATACCAATGCATCATAAGCTAAATATAGAAATGAATGCACATTCAAAAATAATCCTATGATTTAAAAATATTTACTTTCCATAAATTAGTCAACCTAAAATATTTTTTTAATGTTATTTGTTGAATGCGACATGACTGTACTACACTGCTTTTACAATTTACTTAAAACTTACCCCAGCATTGCCCGTAAGATGTTCCATAAACCGTACGGTTGCTTCTTTGATGCCAGCGATATTATCAATGGCACCTCGTACGGTAATTGTCGTCGAGTATCCACGAACGCGCTTGAAGTTGACTGCCACATTGTACCTCTGAACTATGAGTTGAATATTTGGTGAATTAATATCTGGAATTGGCTGCATCGCATTGGTTACTGGCACTTCAAATGATAACACTAATGGCAATAATTCCTAAAATAACACAAAAGGTTTAACTTGAGAATCAAATCAATCAAATTGTGTGATGTGTGCGACTGGACCACGTTGGGGAGGGTTGGCCCCCATCTGGAGAAAAAACCCAATTTGATGGGAGAAAAATTATATATATTGTTTATCTAAAATCTGAAAATATGCTATATAAATAAATATTATTAATTACATATTAGATTCTGAAATTGATTATGCCTTTGAAACCCCAAAAATTTGCCCAGATTGCAGAAAAAATTATATATATATATTGTTTATCTGAAATCTGAAAATATGCTATATGTATAAATAAATATTATTAATTACATATTAGATTCTAAAATTGATTATGCCTTTGAAACCCCAAAATTTGCCAAACTTTCTAGATTTTGATCAATGCCTAACCACACCTGCTTACACTCTCATTGGGGACATAGGGATCCCCACCCCCATCGGGGACATCAGAACCCTATTTGGATGAGTCCTGATACCACCTCTAGTCGACTGCAAGTTACTCCCAGCCCCTTGCTGGTAACCATTAACAATGGGTTTGACTGAAGCAATGTAGATAAAGTGCCTCGATCAAGGACACACGCTAAATGCAGTGCACACTATTTAGATCCCGGCTTCCAGGTTGCGAAACTAAACCATTTCCACTGCACCAAACTGCTTCCACAATTACTCATTCTTTGGAAACGGGATATAGTATATTCAGATTATCTTTTTTTTTTTTCAACGATTGAATTTTTTATCTTAATTAAATCAGTAGTATTTAGTCAAGCATGCAGTTGAATGATTGGCCCAAACCTTGGTAATGTTCTATTCAAGACTGACATTATGCTGAGTATTGTATGTGAAGTGAAGTACAAAGTATGATAACAAACTTTATTGTTGTAATTCAAAGTCAAACGGGTGAACACGAAATTATTATGTTTGAAGCAATATATATAATACAATGGAGAACTTTTAAAATTATCATTGACTATGTGAAAAGAGTTGGAAGTGATCTTGTTATAACATAGATGCTATTAAGTGTGCAACAATACATTCGCTAACAACTATCTGGCAATAAATCGCTTAATGCACAGAAGTTGCAACTAAGGGGCCTTGGTGCTAGTTTATAACCTAAAAACAAACAAAAAACAAAACTTGGCATCAGCTCAATTTTGATTGAGCAATCCTAAAATAGAATAACAAAGGAGAGACGTGTCTTATATATCTTATCAACTTTTGGACCAGAAAAAGGACAGTTATTAATCACTGTCGTTCTGTTTATAATTTAAGAGACTTGAAATGGAATTTGATTATAGTTCCAAAATGTACAGTTCTGCAGTGCTTAGGATTCTGAGGACCCATTGGAGGTAATGTCAGCAGTACAAACAGGTAGTTCAGACATCTGCCAAGGGAAAAAACTCACCCTAATTTTGGCGCGTGCCATTTCCACGCCAGATGGTTGTCCTGCTATTGAGACCTGGTTACTTTTTTCAGCTTGGCTGCCGCGGTTAGAATCCGGAAAATGGATATGACAGCCAGTGTTCCGCATCACTGACTTTATGTTATTGCCGCCTTTCCCGATCACATGTGAATGTTCCATGTAGGATACATCCATCTTCAATGTGACTCGATTACTCTGTGGAAAAAAAAAATATAGTCTTGAGCAATATCCTTCTAAAAACTACTTTGAAACTTTAGAAGGTTTCTGATTTTGGAGGATACAGTAGGATAGTACATATGTATGACGACATAATTAATGTCGAAATATTGAATCCCGACACGATGGCGTGCATTTCGATACCTGGAGTACGTATTATACTATATTATCTGAGATTAATCAGTGGACCTTTCAATCTTATTTTTCTACTCCAAAAAAAAAGACCTTTTTCTGATAATGGAGATTTCCAGAGTGTCAATAAAAAACAAATGGTCAATCTGAACAGGGTTTGGAATACGCGATTTTGTCCCACAAACACATGTGCGTCTCACAAATGCACATGTACGCATTTGTTTACTCTGTTGATTTGTGGGACCGAACCATATGCTCAGAAGTGCACAGTGAGGTATTGAAATCTCAAAGGTTGGGAACCAAATTGTTCCTGTTGCACCATACTGCTTTAGAGAAGTGGAAATTAAAGGAATTACTCAGATATTACTATTAATTAATACACAAAGGATGCTAGGGAGTTGTAGCATGTAAAGTTGTTTCCAAAAAAAAACAACAAAAAAAAAAACATATGTTATACAAAACTTATTGATTTGTGTTACTAATGGTGCCAAGAGCAGGTGAGACGCCTTTCAATACATAACTCAAGTTTCCTCAACGGATATGTACCCAAACGTTAGCACATTGATTCTAAACATTCATACGTATGTAAGTTGATAATGGCAAATGATAATTGAAAGGTCAGCAAGAAGTACAGCATGTAGAAAACATTCCATAACACAAGCTATCATCCATTACAAAATGAATAAATATTAATATGAATATACCAACTTTCCGAATGAACAGATTTTGATATGATGTTTGGGAATGAATTTCAATGGTGTGTAATATGCTACATTCACACTGGACTCAAACTAAACTCCGGACTGTGTTTCCGATGGGCTGTACAGCAGTGCCCCAATTCTTACATACTGATTCAATTTTCTGATTGGTTCGGTAGGCTTTCCGATACGAAAATTTGGTGTGAACGCAACTTTAACCTCTAATGTACATGATATTGTTTCATAAGCCAGAGACACACAGCACCAATAGACACTGGTCAACATGATTTCATAAGAGAAAGAAATGCAATGAGGCAGGCGAATTAGATCATTTTTAATTGACATGATAGTACAGTCATTTTCAAATCCACCGTGTAAAAAAGGTATCCTAAAATTAGTCACGGATCTCATGAAAATGACTACTATGATGCTCAGTCCGCCACTAACAATTAGCAGGCAGCGGTGTGTCAAAGCTATGATTCAATTTATTTAATAGAGGGCTTGTGGATATCTTCTACCATAGAGTAAATTCCTTCTTAAACTAATTCCAGAGCTTTTCTTAAAATCAGTGGTATATCTGGCGGAGGAAGGGAGGATGGTGCGGGGACCCCCATTAAAAATGTCCGAAGTAAAAAAATAATGTTCTAGCTAAAAAAAATCACATGTCAGTTACTTTGCAACCTAGCGCCCCTTACTTAATCATCAAGCCCACCTTCACCTTTGCACCCCCTCTCCCATCATCTCCCATTTCATCTAAAATAGATTTGGGTTAAAGTATGCCCATCAGTCGACCTTCTTATCACACCACTGGCTTGCAAGGTCTTTGAACCTCTGTGTAAAGTGGTGTTATTCAATTGCATTCAAAATTGGTTTTTCCTACACTAAAGTATATTTGTAATAGGAGACAGGTAAACATGGCCGTATTATAAACAAATTATTATTCCAAGCTTTCGTAAATTATTGTCTACATTATAAACTAGGCTGCTTCATGAGAATTTATGGGTGGCTATATTTTTTGGGTATCTTTAGGACTCAAACAGGAAGGGTACAGTATTTCCTCTGGCCCATTATTGAGCAAGAAGCAAAACGGGTTAACATGTTCTTGTAAATTAGTCAATTTGAAGGTTCTCAAAATTTAGCAAAGGCCTGACATCGATAAGCACTACCAAGAAACATTGATATCTATGTGAAGAGGCCTCAGTTAGATGTCCACTGAAATTTTATATTGATGTCACAGAAAATTCAGGGAAGAACTTCACAACCCCAAGATAAAAAAAAAAAACATAAATCCTATATAGAATCTGTGATATTATCTTTGATAGAAGATAGGAACACAATATAAGGATATATTTAGGAATGGCTATAGTAAAAGGTTAAAGGGGTCAGACAGGACAGTTTTAAAATTATAATTATGTAAAAAGTGATATTTTTCCCAATCCCTTTTATGAAGGGCAAAATTTAATTTCTGGGTCTTAAAATCTTGGGAGACTAGGCAAGTATTAATATGAAATTGATTATGTTTATGATCCTTGATAAACGCAGTCATTTACACAGAACGACTCATTTCGCAGCATCCCCATGAAGATACCTTACTAGCACTGAACCATTCACTAATCATCATTAATGTGAGCACATGGAAAATATATGTTTGATTTGAAAGTATAATACATACTCCAAGTATTGAAATACACGCCATCGTGTTGGGATTCAATATTTCGACATTAATTATGTCATCATTAATTATGTCATCATCAGGAATGATTCCTGATGATAACATAACTAATGTCAAAATATTGAATCCCAACACAATGGCGTGCATTTCGATACTTGGAGTAGGCCTATAGTGTATTATACTATCTTATCTGAGATTAATCAGTGGACCTTTCGTTTTGGATCTGTACAATAATTACAAAGTAGGCCTACTGTACAGTATATAGGTCAAGAGGTACTATTGTAAGAAAGTGTGCTATTCCGTGTGTTTAATTTTTAACTTGTAACGCTTTCAAACTGTGTGATAATTAAATAAGGAAATGTCTCTACAAAGTTAGGACACATTCTTAAAACAAGACCCAATGGTTCAACGAATAGAATAATTAAAATAGATCGCCATAACTTGCCCATTCTACATTCCTCACTTTTATAAAAAGTTATTAGGGTGGTTAAAACAGGTCCGTAGCCAGGGGCTTTTCAAGGTTCGGGCAAATCCCCTTTCCAGAAAACCCTCCCTCTTTGGCTATGAACCTCTCCCACACACTGGATTTTCCCCTGGACACCAGAGTGGCCCTTTAGCAGGCCACAGGCACTCCACGTCCAGAACCCGCACTTGGAAGAGGCTGGTTAAGGGCTGTTAGATCTTGTATATTTGACATAAAAAATGGTTTAAATGGTTGCACTTTAACGTCTCAATTACAAAAACGATCATCATTCATTATGTTGAACAAATTATTATAAACAATTTGCTTTCTTTTTACTGCATTGTGAATCAATCAAATCTTTGAGCAAGTCAAATACTTTCCAAAGGACATTTATTTTTTTTTAAATTTTATCTTTTATATTTTTATGTCAAGCTTTTACTTAAACTAGAAAAAAACTACTTTTTGTTTGAGCCATCCTGTTGAAAAATGATTATATAAAGTCATCCCAAATTATATATTTATATATAAATATAATAAAACCATCAGGTTTTCATTAATTTTATCTTTTAATAGCAAATTCATGTTAGTATCACCTGTGTGCAATCATAACAAGAATACATTTGCCCTACCATAGGAACATAATACTATGTAACTAGGTAAATGTGATTAGGCTCGCATTAGTTACATGCAGTGCTGCTTGCAGTACTCCCCAGGGAGAAGGCTGCACTTTGTGCATGAATGTTTGCTATTCTAACGACCAGTTGAGAATCAATGCCTGATAAACTTTGGGTTGGTATGTTTGCACTGAACGAACACAAAACTACAAAATGATTTACTGTATTACATCAATCTTCCTAGAAGTATTACAACATAATTTTAGTTAAGTTAAGTTAATGCTTGTATACCTTTATAATTCAATCTGAGGAGAAGGGGGGGGGGGAGCTATTTATGTTTCATAAATCACCTCAGCCTGTAATCTTGTGAACTATGCCATGTTGATATGTTATCAGAAAAGGTGCTATCAAAGGTGTCAGCAAGGACATAACTAGTAAATTTTGGCATTTTGACAGAAAGACCCCTACCTGACATGATCAAACACCATTCATAGTTAAGTAAAACCATAGAAAAGCTTCTAGACAGATGTTTTCACAACATGGTTCTTATCAGTGGTTTTAATCAACATACCAAAATTGCATTTTAAAATACAATAATCTAGAATTCATTGCGGATAAATGTCGTTGATTAAACCTGTATGATGACTTTAAATAAAGTCAATGTTGACTTGAATAATCCTAGGATGTGAAGACTATTCCATTTCAGAAGAGTTGCTCCTATATTTAATAATTTATTAAGTAGTAATATGGTTACTTGCTCAAATGTTCATATCTGCTATAAAAACAGTTTCTTTGCCTGTAAAACAATTACTAAGTTTCAATGCATGCATACTGTAAAACCTCAAATAGAAGCCCTGGACTTTTTCTTTTTTTTTTTGCGAACTTTGGATGGGCTACTTTTTGAATTGGGCTTCTTTCTGTGGCTACTTTCTCAACGTAAAGAATTGGGGGGGAGGGGGGGGCTTCTTTTCAAAACATGAATGCTGTTTAAATTATGGGAATTACTACTATAAAACAATAGAGCCACTGTAGCATCAGTCTGTATCATAAGTGTATTAACTGGCATTAAATCAACTACTGTATACTGTGTAAATGAACCATGTTCAGGGGCGGATCCAGCGATGTTCGAAAAGGGAGTTCCAAACGTGTGGCCAATCGACACAACAATACCCTAAGGGCTGCGGCTTTCCCCCGCGAAATCCTTGTTTTCTAGATGCTCAAAAATAACCTCTGAGACGTTTTAGGCGATCAGTTATTTTTTTTTTCCTTTTTCCTCTTTGTTATCTTTTTTTTTTTCTACTTTCCAAAAGAGAGGGCCGCCGGGGTTTTTAATTTATTTTGTTTCTTTAAAATTCATGCACAGTGTATTATCTCAAAAAGAAGCCCATGCTACAGTATCT